GTATACTTCATAGGTCTCATAAGTGGAGATGTACTCGCAATTAACCCGAATTTGAGAAAGTTTCAAGTGATCGCCGATAGTAAAGAGCATAAAAATGTGTCGGTTCGAATGTGAATTTAATAAAAAATAGAACTATATTTACATTTTGTACTGTTAAATGAAATCTCGAGAAACCCAAGAGGCGTAGAAGCGATTTCCGATAACATTTTAAAAGTATCCACACTCGTCAGAAATTAGTGAAATCATTATGAAAAGTGGGCAGCTAAATATTCAAACAAAAAATTACTACCACGCTAAAATCATAAAACCCACTAAAAAACGGCATACTACGTCATTTGTATAATTATACAATAATGATCTGCTCGTTGTTTTCAAGAGGGCTAGTTCTACAAATAATGAGCCCTACTTGTTAGTTCCTCAAGGTAACACAAAACTCTAATAGTTTATTTTCAATTATCGCCTCCGATGTATTAAAAAAATTCCATTAAAATTATACGGCTCGGTGAATAATAATAATGATATTATCGGCTTTATTCGAATGCCAAAGACGTTTTTCTGCAATAACGTTTAATTTCAGTTCTGTTTTCCCGTAATTAGAAATTCTAAAACATTGTGACGGGCCAATTAGAAAGCGACAAAACTGGTGCGCCTAGTCGTGTCGGTTCGAATTCGCCATAGACTGACTACTTTTTTAGACGGTTGGGAACATACGAGAATTTCCATAATTACAAAAACATATTTATCAACGCAAAAGTTAAATTGCATCGACCTTGATCGTTCCTAATGTGTTTCTCGATAGGGAAAATTGCAGTTGTGACCTCGTGCGAAAAATATGTGCATTTAATGAGAATCGCTTGAAACTAACAATATGAATGAGAATGAATAATTGGGCGAGAGTGGAAAATTAAAAAGTCAGAGGCGCCTGTAACTGGATTATCAGTGCAGAAAATCAATTAGTATATATAATATCGTGCGAGTGTAAACGTCTCCGTATTAGTTAAAAAAAATGGGGAGGCGAAAAAGTGCAAACTAGAAAACGGTTTAGACTCGGCGGCTATCGATACCGAATGCATTTCGCGTGACTTACTTGATGCCGGACTTGAGATTTTTAATGGACTTCCATTGTGCGATCTCGTGCATTGTCGGCGGCCGATCGTCGGTAATGTCGACGGACGAAAGGGACGACATGGACGACGAGTGTAACATTAGCCGCACCGGAACGTGGCACGGAGTAGACATGGGCTCTAATTGTATGCAAAAACCGTCTTCGTCGGAGTCTTCGGCGGTGACGGTGGTGTTGTCGTCGTCGCCGTCGCCGTCGCCGCCGTTGGCTGCTATGAGATCGTCGCCCAACATAAAGCCCGTCGTCGGTTCGCGGACACCGTTCTGGTGAATGTCGTCCGCGGACGCCACGGTGCGCAGTTCAGACAATACGAACCGCCTGGAATTTCGTCGCTGTTGCAGCATACTTTAATGGTTGTGGTCGACAGGCGTTGCGCGGCGCACGAGTAAATAAACTACATACGCGTAGTACACTACGCGGTGGTAGCGATATCGTTGGCTGTGTGACGTTACCGCCGATTATCGGAACGGCGTCTATTGCGCCCAAAGTGGACGTTTGATGGCGACGGCGTTCGTGACGACAGTGGACAACGGCTATTGCAATGCGAATCCGGACGTGTGACGGCGGCCGTGTACTCGTAGATCATTATAACACCATTAACGGTGTTTACGCGCGGTCACAGATTCTTGCGTAACCGAAAGTCCATTAAAATTACAAGTGCCGTAATTGCACGCGTTCCACTGTTATCACCGCTGTTCTGAATTATTCGATAGGGGAGGTATTATTATCACCAAACGGCAACAAAAAAAAAAAAACGTTCAAGGTGATGTTGTAACACAGAAATCGTCCCAAGCACAGCCGGAAGAAATTCGACGAGGCTCACGAAACATTAAATATTTTTACTGCCGACGGTAAACAATTCCGTTACGACACCAACTAAGAAAATATTTTTGTTTTTTTTATTCACTCGCTAGTAGGTCGGCAAAATATTGCACACAATTAAAACGACAAAATAAACACTAAATAAATAAACTACAAGACCGCGTTGAGCAACCAACAGGCGGACGGCCCAACGAGAAAGTAGTCTAACGGACTGACGTGATTCGCGAAGAATAGCGCGGCGCGGACTGAACTGTGTCCGAACAAGTGAAATTATCGAAAAAGTCCTTCTACCGACGATGCCATTGCACACTGTTTTTTCACCGAATTATATCATCGCACGTTCACTAGACCGGACAGACACGTGTGTCGGGTGTATTCCTCCCACCACCGAAAAAGCTCAACGGTTCCCACTATCATCATCGTTGCCGTAGGGTGTAGGGGCTAGCCAGGATTAGCCCCCCCCCCCCACAGAAATCTACCGAAAATACATGCGTTGTTTTATGAAAATTATTCTTTGGAGGGCAAAATGTAATCTAGTCTCCAAAAAAATTTACCACCCTACACATTTATAGCGGTTTGTTACACATTTGAGTGTTTCCAGTTGGTTATCAGTTAATATTTTCATTAATTATATCTGATGAATTTCTATTCGACAATTATGGACCGGTGAAACCACGAACACGTACGTTAATAACGTAGGTGGAATATGAAAGTGTCTGTGTGTATCATCATCAGTACGAGAATACGAGTGGTAATGGAAGAACGAGGCTATTCTTGACCTAAAATAAACCAATGTCGGTACAATTTATCATCTACCCGTCGATTATCGGCTAATGATTAAAATGTTTTTAATCTCCATTGATCAATTATCCCAGTGAAAAAATAGTACTTGCTAAGACCGATCGGGAATAAGTATTTAGATACACGATTACATTACATTATTTTTTTTTTATTGCTCATGAGTAGTTCAACAGTGAGAGATTTCACACGAAAAATATATATTTTCTCACGGGCACCAATTACACTAAAGTAAACAGAGCTGGGTCAAGAACTATACTGACCCCATCTCAAGATAGTGTGGCTTCCACGAGAAAACGATTAAAAAACAAACAAAAGATCATTTTTATTTAAAAATTTTCTCGACGGTCCAGCCAAATCGAAAACGAGCTCCTTCAATTAATAGATACCGCAGCGCCCACCTCCTCCTTCTCCTCCTTAATCAGACGCCGACAGTAAATGTTTAGATGAATAGGCAGTGGTCTGTCGAGTAACTGTGTAACAGTTTTTTATCGGGGGGTTTTTTTTAGAAATATTTCTTGACCAATTTAAGTTAAACTACAGTATCTAAAAACAATGTTTACTAACTAATAAATTTCGAAGCAATGATCAACACACAAAATTCAACATAACAACTCCACTGTTGGACGCTTTGATAGCGTGGACATGATAAGTACCGATTGTTAAGATGCGCGCCCATCATATCTATAATTTAGTGTTGACCAAGGCAAGTCTATTCACGTGATAGAGGTAATTAACGTATTTCTCATCACATTATCGTTAGATGTTTACACATTTATACATTATCGGGCGGAATAAATTGCAATTATCACTTTTTGCGATGATATTCTTCAAATAATAGAAGCTACTTAAAATCATTTAATTGGTCATCGATTTGAAAAGTCGTAAGCAACTTTAAAATGTACATGCAAACATGTCAAGTTTCCAAAAAAATATAAACATTAACTTTATTTACAATGATTAAAGTTCTACGGGCGTATCAGAATTGTCGTCATTTATAAATTCTTCAAAAAAATAGTGTTAAAATTTCCAAATAACTCAACCATAATATCATGTGGATATTTAGGCTCAGAGTAGATAACAATTAGACGTTAACAAATGTACAGCATTTATAAAAACATAATTCAACTGAATACAAGTACTTGTCGTATTCGATTGTTTTCTAGAAAAGTTCAAAATCCCTCAACTTAACTCAATCGTTATTCACAAAAAATTGTTGAACTCTGAAACACGATTTTTTGTCTTAAATACTATTTAGAACAATAATAGAATTCGAAAGTCATGGTATTAGTGATTAAGTAGTCAATATTGTCATAAATAAATTAGTTATAGGACAGGTGCTGCGCGCAAAGAACACTTTAGTATAAAAATCATTGTTTATTAAGTTATTATCGGCAGAATATATTCATCAATTAGTTTTTATAAGTTAAAATTATGACAATGGTTATATTTTAGGAGGAAAACCTTTATCAATGTATAATTTAAACATGACGATGAACAACAATTAAAACGGCGGACATTATGCGCATAATTAATCGTACCGGTTCGATTCAATATTCATTATCATGTGTATATACTGTTTATGTTAATACGGAACTTATTGCTAATTGATGGTCATATATTTGACTTTATGGGGTAATAAAATTAAAACGTTCTTCCCAATATCTAACGAGCGTTCAGTTAAAAACCTATAAAATAAAGTTTTTTGTTATTTACGTAATAAAATTTGTCTAACTACCCCTAAAAAAAAAAATCTCAAGGCCTCAATTAACGACAACTTAAACCCTAAAAACTTTAATAATTTCACCGTGTGACCGACATATATTACGAATTAACAAAAATTACACTGATTAGTTAAAAACTGGTTTTTATTTACCATATTAAAAAATCAGTATAACTATTAAATAAAATAATTTTTTTTAAATACTTAATATGTATTCCAATAAAACGTTTCAATAGTTGCATGTCAAGATCTCTAATCTTACTATAAAATGAATCGAACATGTCAGTAATGAGATTTCAAAATAAGTATAAAAAAAAAAATTCATGTAATAACTATACGTTTGGCGTTTTTTAATTAACATTTACACGGGAACGTATAATTTCAACTGCTGTTTATGTAATACAGACACCAGAGTGGTTCGTTCACAAAACAATTAAGAAACCGGTGCGGTTTTCACTGGTAAAGAGATACGGACCAGATGACTTCATACGGTCACGTGCCACAAATACAAAATAAACGATGGACTAGTAGTACCTCAAACGTTTCCTCCTTTCTGTCAGGCCGAACATGTCTTTGTAAGAGTTGCTGTTTGACGTCACCCCCATTCTCGAAGGCTCCTTTCCGTTGGTCAACGGGAACGAATCGGTGTTCTCGTGTTTCTCCTCTTCCAGAGCTCTTATCAGATCGCCATTGACAAGCTCGGCAGACGATTGATCGGCACCGTCTTCGTCACCGACTATGAAGTTGACTCCACCGCCGGTGGTAGTGCTACCAGTTGTAGTGTCGGAATTCATTGTATTGTCGTTCATGACAACGTTTTCGGAGTTACTGCAATCTGCCTTCTCTGTAACACGACAAAAAAATAAATAAAAAAAATGAGTCCAATGAGAAGTCATTTTTGCATTAGCGAGGCCGGTTTTCGTTTTTAACCAGCCGTCAATCGAATACAAACGTACTCATCACCTATCAGTATATAATATTGTATACCATACCGCAACAGTAGAACAACTAGAAGACAGACCTAACTGTATATTCCGATTAACCTTCTGTAGACACACAGCAGATAAAATGTTCAATGTACATAAAATTACAAGTAGTTACACACAATAAGATAACCATAATAGCAACTTTTGCTGGGGTTCACGATCAAGGCTGTATTTTATTAATCGTGTTTAGTTATTACACCGCGTTTTAATAAAAACATACATTGCTACAAGACAAAATTGTTTAAAAAATAAGCTCGGCCAAATCAATCGTTGCAACGAAAAATCACTCGAAATAATTACTATAAATAATTTGACACCTAATATGCTTGCGACAAATATTATCACTTTCAATTGTAATGCAAAAATTATTTATGAAAACTCAACAGCAACACTGTAATTAGTCGAATGAAACGTTATTAAAATTAAAACAAACTCGTAGGAAATATTAAATGCTCACACGATTTACGTAATATATGTAGTTTATTAGTATGCTAAAAAAACATGAACTCCGTGGACTTCAATAGTCGTAAAAATGAATTTAAATTTTTTTACTTTTTATTGATTACATAAAATGTGTTACATGAATTAAAACAATCAGTAAATTTACTCGATTAAATTAACGAACGAATTAATAGCCTTTAATAAAACTTATTATACTTAGTGATGTCCCTGAGCGTTGTGAAAAATCCTACAACTTGTGATTCAGTGACTATTTTAAAGTACTTTTTATTAATTTATTCAAGGAAAATTCAATATAACCATTTTGAAAACACATTTTTACCGAAAATTTCCTATTAGCGTTTATTGTACATGTTTTTACACGTTATCAAACGTCGGTGTTCGTTAAAAAAAAAAAAAAAAAATAGTAGAGAACGCAAACTAAGTTAATGCTAAATATTGTTTTTAGGAATAAGTTTTCATAAAAATTGTCATTGCATGAATGGTACCTAATTGAAATGAAAAACCCGTTAGTAATATTGTTAGTAATAAGACTTTATTGGTATTACTTTACGATAAATCAAAATAAACAATCGAAATAAAATCCTATTCCTGTTTAGTTAAATTTTGTCTAAGACACAATAATAATCCATTTGATATTATCAATATTTTATTTTATCCACCTAATTTCTCACTGTTAAATGTATCGTCCATGGTCTGTCTATTGCTATATTGAGTTTTATTCAAATTTAAGAGTGATTTTCTATTTAATGATTGCAATTTATGTAGTTCATTTTAGTAAAACACTTAAAATGAATCAAACGATTTTGGTATATTATTTTTATTGAAGATTTTTTCAAATTTATTTTCACTTGTGGTAAAGTAATACAATAGAGATCATAATACTATAATAATATTACTATAAGCGTTTTTTGTTTCAACGAGGTACCTATTCATGCGATGGTAATTCTTATGGGATTTGTAAGAACATGGGTGCCACCCTGTACAAACTCTAATAAAACTTATAAAATGTTTTAAGGAAAATGTTTGTAATTGTGCATTGTAAAAACTAACCACAGAACAAAAAACTATCTTATAAAGTTTCATTAATAAATTGATAAATGAATAAATTGTAAAGTTTTACAACTCATGAAATGGATAATGAAAACCACCATGTTGATTTCATGATACTAAAAAGTTTCCATCGTAGGAAAATTATTTTTATATTGATTTTTAAAGTGAATAACACTTTACCATCGGCGAATAAAATAATATAACAGACTAAATTTGTTAAATATTTTCTATTTGTTTATAATAATTTTGCGTTTAATTTTACGTGGAGGGCGGCTAGTTCAGACGAATTACTTTAATATGGTAGATAAATTTCGATTATCAGCTACAGGTACTAAAGTATAGTGAAATGTTATCAAATGTTGAAAATTTCGATTATTGTAGTTTACACCGTAAGTCAGAGGTATACTTAATAATACTAAATACGCTATCACAAATATTCGTTCTTTTAATATTTTATTTTTTAAAAGCAACAAGAGTTCAAGGTGAAATAAAAATTCCAAGTTGAGTCAATATATCAACAATGGACAAATTCATACTGAGCTTGAAGCCAGTTACCTAATAAAATATGAATTTTGAATTTACATAAAATTTAAGCGTTTTATAAAATTACCTCCATATACTGTAAATCTAAATGTAAACAGAACGTCGTGAAGTGTCTAAACCAAACACGAGATCGAAAAAATAAATAAATAAAAAGTACTTACGAAACATTATGATTTCATAAATATAGACATAATACTAGGGATAATTTAATAATAAAATATTCATTGAACTTCAATTGAAGACTGAGGTTAAATCTCAAAAACATTTAATTATTTTCACTTGATAAAATCGACAGTAAAAATCTCCATGATAACACTACGAACGAAAACGGTTGAAAAATAACAAAAACGAATAAAGTGAATTTCAGAATTGTCCACGAGGGAGGTACTGACCTGCAGGACGAGACTCTTCGGGTGTCATTATTTTTGCAGATTTGTCGATATTGTTTTTAACGCGATAAATATGGTGTTTTACGATGAGAAAAAAACGTAGAAAAAAATCGCGGACGACCACAAATAATATCACATTGAACATGCTACACACTATGAAGTATTCCGCCGGATGGTCCGGTTGGACAATGAACGGTCATGTCCGTCGTAATGGTCGAACAACAGTAATAATATTTAGCTGCGGCGTTAAGTTAACACAGTAACATATTTTTATTAGTTTATAAAATTAGTATACATTCGGCGGCGGCGGCGGCGACAGTAGCGAACTAATTGAAAACAATTTTAAATGTATTCACCCTTATCACAGAGAGGCGTCGCCAGAGATTCGGGTCGAAGTGGGAGAAGACTGAATGACGCGCGATACGTACGACGGACGGATGAGTTGGATGAAAAGTAAAAAATAATTCACACAGAATCACATTATGGATAGCAGTGAAAAAAATATATATCAACACGTTTACCGGTCAAACTTGACACGAATAATTGACAATAGTGGACAACGACGACCGATGCTGCAGTGGTGTTGTAGTGCTGCTGCCTCCTTGACCGGACCCGACTTAGAAGATCTTTTTGATCTCCGGTCGCTTTCCTATGGCGCGACAACAGGCCTACCCTATTAAGTCCAACTGGTCGCGAATACCTCGACTCATTCCACAACCTATACGGTATCACACGTCAACGCACAGATAACGATAAGAAAAAACCTGATGCAACACAGTCAACATTTGGAATACAAAGCGGCGACCTTGCCTAGAAGAGGTCCGACTTGTTTTAGCCGAGGTTGTTAGCTTTAGGAATAAAGGATTTCCACTTTACAGTAAACTAGTAAAACATAGCTGCAGGATACCAAATTTCTTACGTAGAACACGGCAAAAATCCAATACAACAACACGAAAACCAGGAAACGAAAACGTCACACGAACAATTACCATACCGATTTACAAATTTAAATATTTATAGTAAAAATTATGCATATGATAAGTTGCAACTAATTTAATACACGACTTGTACCATTCGATTTTATACAAGATTAACGTTAATGATTAGCAGGGCATAGTTTAGGGAGGGGGTGATGGCTTCCAGGAGCTGGCAATCAATATTTTACGAAACCGATATTTAAAAAAACCTCTCGAAAGCATATATCCACAGTAAAAAATAAGTAGCTCCCCCTAAAATTAATTATTAATACGCCCTTGAAATCATTTATCATTCGTTGGAATATTCACGAAAACGTGAAATAAATAACTGTTGTTTTCAGCCGAGTATTTTGTTTATTGTGATTACGCCTTAAAATACCTTACAACATTGATGCCAACGGATGGGTGACCTTTACGGCGGCGAAAAAGCACCGGAAACCAGTGCGCTTAAAAATTTCTCCAATCTCATTGGTGTTGATCAACCTAACGATTGTACATAAAAATAAAAGAACATTTGTTGTGAAACCGATATTACTATTTGAAGACAGTCTCTGTGAATAAAAACGTATAAAATCGAATACATTACCTTTTTTTGATCGTTATTGGTTATTTAATATCATACCGATACTCATGTTGCACATTTAAAAAATCGAATACAGTATAACACGATGTATACACATTGACATGAATGAATTCGATGAAAACTGTGGCCTAGCGAATTCAAGTAGGTAGTTACGTTAAGCATACTTATGACCTTTGACATGTTGAAACAATTATAATGCTACTCGTGTATAACACATATACACATAAATTATTATATTAAATATATTAACACGACAGGTAATGAAACTATTAAAATCGTGTGTTCAACCGGTGAATTGAATTCTTTTATTAAAAAACGCCTAACAGTTTTGAATAAGTTTGAAGTGTATACTCTATGCACGAATAATTGTTTGAGAAGATTAAGTAGCAGGTCCCAAGGATTTCTTTAAAAAAGTTCTATAAGGCATTCAATATAAGAAAACGATCACATATTTAATTAAATTATAAAAAAAAAAAAACTATCTTGGTCAATCGGAGTAAACAAATAACTTACTAAATAAAAAACTCAAAAGTGCAGCAATGATTGAAGCAGCAATAGCTAAAATCCACGAAACTGAAAAGATAGAATTTTTACACTAATTAGGTATTTTTCTTACGAACGACGTTAAATGAAATTGTTTTATTTAAAAAAATAATAACCCAAAGGTTATTTGATAAATTATCCATTGAATTTCTATATAACTAAATTTTTAAAAAGTTGTAAAGAAATTATAGAGTTTATATCCCCTACCAATTACACAAAAAAAACCGTTAGTTTTCTTTTGCTTCTACGATTGAATAAGGTTTTTACTCGATATGAACAGACGTTAAGTACTACAACATAAAAAGAACACGGCACACATTCTGATATATATTAGAATTAAAAATTAGTAACACTTAATTATCTACACTTGACCAAAAATCCCTAGAAATAGGGTTTGGGCTGCGATGTGGAAGGCAAGGGAAAACCACCACATTAACATCCCTAATTAGGCAACTACTATTTTGTCTTCTAAAATGGATTCTAGCAGTGTAAAAATTATATCCGGACGTAAAATAGCCCTCGTTCGGATGTCCGAGTGGGAGTTACCCTGCAGGATACATGTGTTAGGAAAAAAAAGCAGAGAATAGGGGAGGAAATTAGTAAAATAAAAGAATGAATTAGTATTTTTTGAACTTTTGAATGTTGTGTTTTGTAATGAGTTACTCACTAGAAATTTTATTAGATTAAAAAAAAAAAATAACTTAAATGTTATCATAAGTTTAATAAGGAAAACAAATAATTTTAACATACTGTGAAATTAAATGAAAAAATCTAATATTATTTATAACTACATCGTAAATTTTTTACTACATTAAAATTTATTGGTATGGAACAAAATATCTATTCATTAGCTTATATATGTTGTAGGGACAAAATTGAAGTTTAAATGAAATATAACAGCGAATTTTTTGCGGAGTTAAGCGTGTAGTGTTCATCCCCATTAGTTGATCAAAAGAAAAAGAAAAACACTGCAGTAACTTATCCAATTTAAATATTGAATCACATAAAAATAATGTCTAGAATAACATACAAACAATATCTAGATAAATAAAAAAATTTAAATAGTAGTTCAAATATTTTGTAATATGTATAAATTAAATATACATATATTTATATTAACATGAATTTTTATTAGATTTTGATTATACTAGATGAGTTGGGCTCAAAAAATTAGTGCCAAAATATTTATTATATATTTCTACCACCTATCATACGTATAGATATAATTTATCTATTAATCTCAGACTTTAATAATAAATCATGAAGTTAATTTTATTCTATACAGCTGATAATTAACGCGATAGGTTAAATAAAAACTTTTAATAATAAAATATCAGAGCTATTTAGTTTAATGTAGATTTTTAATTTTAGTAAGAATTTTTAATACGAATTTAACATGTAATTAATATTAATTTTAAATATATTTGTTAAATTATGTAAATTAAATTGAATGTAATTTACATGTAATGTGATGAATCTTATAAACGTATACGCATGTGCGAAATTACTATACTTTGATTTCTATAATCCGTTTTGGTATATTAGGAACAGAAAACTTAGGGAGGATAAAAAACCACAGCTATTTATTCTCGTTAAAAAAAGGTCAAAAATGATTGTACTCACACATCGTACAATGAGTGCAAGAGGGCCATATATCAAAATTCATGATATTTAACATTTTTATATGATTCAATTTATTTTATTATTCTCTTCCCAAATATGCGAGAAACTTGAATACAAGTTGATTTGAACTTAATATAAATGATGAAAACAAAGTAACACACAATGTAAATCTTATGAAAGGTTGAAACTTTGAAACCTTAAATTTCAAAACGACATTTTGCAAAATACGACCCTTTTATACTCACAATGCGATATGGTCTTAAATATGGCACAAAAATAAAAAATATCTGAATTTAAAAATTACCAGAAATCATAACATTGGATGCTAAAATTTTCTATTTTATAATATATATTTTAACAATCAATTTAAAGATGGTCCAATAGGTTACTCCATGTTACAAAACTAATTGAATTTTTTTAGGAAATGTCTCAGGAGAGTACAGATTTTGGAGAACTTAAAATTGATAGCAAAGAAATGATCAATACATTATATAAATTTCACAATATTACCTACATCATTACACAGGCGATTTTCGAGAAACCTATAAACAAATATCTACAAGTATTTAAAAAAAATAACTTTTAATTTTTTTAAAAAAAACTATAACTTTTTTAAAAATGTTCTATCAATAATCGCCCATCTAGGGATTGTACATTATCATTGATAATGTTATCAGTAGGGTCCGGTATTATATAAATTTATACTATTTATTTGAACTCCTTTAGATGCTTCCAAGTTTGTACAGCCTTGTCGTAGCATAGAATCCTAACCTGTAAAGCACGTTGCAATATAGTAGTGTAGACATTTTTCGTTTTAGGGGAGGATAAACCTTCTAATTCCCTCCAAAACTATAACTTTGGTAACAATACATTACTAAGTTATCAAATAAATAAATAAAAATTTGTTCTAGCTGATGATGTGTTCGGAATAACTTAACAAAATATATAGTCATATATTTCCGGATACTAATTATCAGATTTAATTTGATGTACATTGATTAAAGGAAACGGGTTTCAATTGTTCGCATTGTTTGTAATAATTAACCTGTTTCCTTACTTTCTGAACACTCTTTATTTATCTATTTGATTTATCTACAACCTACTAATCCTATAGAATCTGTACTTTTCTGATACAAGTTTTATGCAGTCCGCACAAAAATTAATTTACAATGTGATACTTTAGGGAGATTATTTTCTTTTTAGTATGCAGCCTATGAAACATGTTCATAATTCATATTTGGCTTTTTCTAAAATCCTAAGTAGACAAATATATGCCTTTATTATAAAAATAATAATTTAAGTAACTGATTAGTTATTTATTAATGAATTGCTGATAAAATAATTTTAAATTATACAAAAGCAAAAATTGACACATAAAGGGCAAGATCATAATTTTATTGCATTTATCTTCGATAGAGTTTTATACAAAATTCGTAAATTTACTATGCACTATTTTTTTTTTTTTATAATTACTAATTTTACCAATACGAAACCAACAACAGTTTAAAAGTAACATGGTCATGTTATTTGCTGACATTCTATTTAAATAAAATATAAAACTTAAAAAAAAATCTATGGTTTACTGAATCTGATATGAATCTATTTAATCTGTCGCCATGAAGTATGTATTAAAAACTACTACGATGAATTCAAAGTAATCGACATTCTTAAAAATCTTTGTGAAAAAATAGTTATGATTGTCATATGAAATTCAAATATAATTGCAAATTACAAAAAATATACATTTAAATTCTACGTAGTCAACAAAATATAAATGATCATTTTCAAGTTGAAGGAGAGCATACATAATTGTATGTCATGGATTATACTAACAAAAAATGTTTGTTTTAATTTAATATCTCGCCTATTCACTATGATCAAAAATAAAAATAGTCAAATATTGTATTAGACGGTTAAGGTATTACAGTTTATCGAGTATAGAATGACCTTTTTGCTTATATGTACATCGGACAACGTCAATCGAAGTTCAAGAGTAAATTATTAGTATCAAAACAATGTCTACCAAAAATTATGAAATTTAAAATAACTCGTATATTATAGGCGTGCTCGTGAATCATGGAGAATATTTTGTGCTACATTTTATAAATACTAAAGAGAATGAAAACAATGTAATGAAATAAGGAACAAGGGATGTATTGATATTAAAAAAAACTTTGAATAATGCTTGTTATATTAATGAAAACAATGTTAGCTTATGTGAACTTGGTATTGATAAAATGTTTATCATAATAAAAACAATAAATTAAATGAAAGTTGTAGACATTTCAATGAAGTCAGTCAATAGAGTTCTAATATTTTATACATAGTATAGTTTTTAATTTTTTATTTTTTAATTGTAATTTATATAATATTTTTGTACCTTAATGATAAAAATATTGAACAATAATAATCTATAACGCATATATTTATTTATTAAATAAATTTCATGAAATATTACGTTTTTAAAAACTTTATTCTTTTTACGAACATTTTAACACAATTTAATTATATTTAACACAATTTTTGGTTGGGTTTAAAATACTATTTTTACCTGAAACTTTTTTTACTGGTTGTTTGTTTCCTTGGCCATTTTTACTGGGTCGCTTTTTTCCTGTTACCAATAAGAATAATTTAGAAATACTTTTTAAAAAAACTCTTAGTATATCCTTTTTTTGTCTGATTGATTTTTTATATTTATATTTCAATTCTTTATACAAAATGTTATCTTTTAATTAAATATTATTCTTGTATCACAATATTAAAGGGGGGGGGGGGGTTAATATAAGTAAAATAATTTAGTTGTTCTATTTCAGTTACTATTAACACAATTTAAATACGAAATTAGATAAAATTAAGAACTCAACATAATTTTTAGTAGAAATGTTCATACATTAATATATTAGTAAGTTTCAAAATAACTAGTAAGTATAGGCGCAATTTGGAAGGATCTAGAGGAGGTATAGCTTAATTTTATATTTAATTCTGACGTAAAGCCCCAAAAATGATAAATATTGCATGTAAATTTGTATTACACTGTTTTAAGGAGAGGAGAAATAATGTTAGGTTCTCCAATGATTTTATTCAAATGCGTATATGTTAGTGTGAAAAAATCAGAAAACAAAATAGATTTTTATAAAAAATAATTATACTTTAAATTAGTTAAAACTAAATTGAATTAACGCATTTAATAATTAAAAGTATTAAAAATATTGAGTATATATTAGATATCTTATAATTCATTGAATATTCAACAAAGCTGTAATGAATATAAAAAAAAGTACATTACCCATGTTGAAGAAATGAATATAATTTGTACCTCCAAATGGTTTTCTAGGGTTAAATATCACTTTGGTACATTGAAAAAACTTTAAAAGAAAAAATTGGAAGCTCAGTTGCAAATTTATGCTGCTGTACAAATGTAAGGTCAGTGAAACATTAAATGATAAATGATCAACATTATCATGAAAACCGTAGAGGTCGTAAAGGAATGAATCAAAGTCACCCGATTTATCAGTTATGAACAGCAACCGAATTAGGCATTTCATTTTTTATGACCTCAGCATAAAACCTTTAGCTTCATTAATGCCAATAGATTTTTCTTATTTATAATTGTAAGTTTATTGACAAGCATATTACATTATAAACTATAATAATCAAATAGTTTTAATTTAAAAAATTTTGAAGCTCTAAATAATGTTTAAATGTTTCAGTAAAATTTAAAATAAAAATTATTTATAAGTTCAACTCAAGTCTCTTTACCCCGAAGAATCTTTTCACGAATCTTACAGATGATTTTATCATAAAAATTATTAATAAATGATGATTATTCAATATACAATCATAATAAGAAAATTGAATATATAAATAAATAATTTTTTTTTAGCTTCGATGCAAAGCTGAGAAGGTATTAATTTTTTTTTAAATAATATAAAATTTTTAAAACGCGTGAGTGATTTTACGAAAAACTTAGGCCAAAAAGACAAAAAATGTCAGTTTTGAAATATTATACTTTTACATAAATGTAATTTAACTAAGGTCGTATTAAGTTTAAGTGAAAATTATGGCAAATATTTGAAATTGAGCATTTCCAACAAAGTGTAAACATTTTTAAGTATTACGGTAATCGAGTCACATTAAATTTTAAGATTTACGCATTTCATAAAATAGTTCCCAATACCTATCGGGTGGTATGAATATCACATAATTACTATATTATTATTAGTGATTATTATCTCGAATCAATAGTTACACACTTATTTCAATGTTCTCGCGTACCTTTGAACCTAAATTACCGATTTTTACTAACTCTGGAACTCATTTATGATGATAACAATAAATAATAAAGGAAACATTAATTCTAATCAAAAAATATAAACAATCAATAAATATGATAAGTATTGTGATGTTATTTAAATATCAGGCACCAGTATCGGTTAATCTCATACTGGGCCGCTACAAAAGTATTTAGATATTTATCATAATATACTAAAAATTTTTACGAATGAAAATCTGCATTCTCTGTAATCTTTACTTCCGTAAATACGTCATTAAATAACTTAATAAAAAAAATTCAACATTTGATTAGGTCCTATAAATATACTATTTATATTAATTAAAATCGCAGTATCAATCACCAGAAAATAAGAAAGTAAATCTTTTTAATTAAACAAACATTTCATAAAAATATAATATATATTAAAGGAAAAAATTTTCATTTTCCGAAGTATTATACAAATTAAAATTTAGATATTCTATATAAATAATGTCATAAAATCAGTCTTGGAGTGATTGAGTGCAATCACAACTTAGTTAATTTTTTTTTTATATTTTTAATAATAAAATTGTCAAAAATTGTATTGAACTTTCATAAATACTTGTAAACAAAAAATTTTACTGTTAGGTATTTTTAATTTAATTGTTAGAAAAGATTAATATCCTAGCAATTAAGTAAACAAAGTAAAATAAATTATTTAAATAAATTAAATTTTAAAATGATAAGAATTCATTTTCATAAAAAATTTAATTTACATTCATTTGTTTTTATTGAACTTAGTAATACTAAATAGAATCTCCATAAAATAAAACTATATTTTTTTTTTTGTATAAATTTAATATATTAAAAATATGTTAGTTGATTTTTTCTGTTGTTAATTCAATAAGATTCAGAAAAATTTTGATATGTATTTAAATATTGGAATATTTTTAATAGTTCTTATAATTTTAATGATGTGTTTTTCAGGCTTCATTGGTTCAAAAGTATTTTTATCATTTAACTTTTAATAAAAACATAATAAAGTGCAAGTTTAAAATTTATATAATTTATTTAGTGGAATAGTAAGAATCACATGAAATTTTGTGAAAACGTTAATTTTCAATGGTCAAAAAACTACAATATAGAACAATTAAAAATAAATAATTCACCTCTGTAAGTATTTTGGTAATACTTAAGTCATAAATTTCAAAAAAAAGAAAAAAAAATGAAATATATTGTTTAAGTGCAATAGTTTATTTATCAAATGTTCTAATATATAAACAATTGAGGGACATGAGTAAAAACCTTAAAGAATTAAAAAATGAGACAATGATTATAAGAAAAAAGTTACAATCAAATGAAAACACTACAGAAAATCATACAATGTAAGTATTTTATAATTCTAATTTTAATACTCATTCATTAATTTAAGTAAAACATATAATTCATACAGGCAAGATGATTTGAATGAATCAACAACATCATCAAATAAAACAACAGCTAATTCACAAAATAATACAACTCTAATCTCAAGAATTGATACAGCACTAATTTCAACACCCAACATAGTATCAATCTCACAAAATGACACAGGAATTAATTCAAAACTAACAAATAAGCAAATATCAGATTCCAAAAGAATGTACACGAAATCTAAACAATATAAATCATTATTATTTATACTTGAAACAATAGCTTTTATTAACAAAAACTTATAGGTAACACTACTAAAAAAATTAATAATGAATTTTTAATTAGTACGAAATTTTTCAAAGATAACTAAGAAAATATGAAAACTTATGTTTCAATAACACTGTGTTACCAATCATAGTTATTAATTATAATTATCATCAATTAATACTAATTTATAAAAATATAATTCATGAGATATAAGTAAACTTAATATGGATGTAATATAATAAAAAAATATTCTTATATGAAGAAATAATTAATGATTAAAGTTGAGAGATCACCATTTTTTTATAGTTGTCAGTAAAGACTATATTTTAGAAAACATTTTTGGAGTGATCTACAGCAATAAAACAGTAATTATAATTTATATTAACTCAGAAGAAAACAAGTAATTTATATATTTTAGGAAAGTCAAGACCTCTGAACTTTCTTGGACATACCAACCCAACCAAACTTATTAGTGTTCTATTTAATCAAAATACAGTAACACATTCTAAATTGTAACATATTACAATTTAGCCAATACAGATAATATGATCTCATAATAAAATAAACGTTGAAATACTTAATACAAATTAGTATTTTACGGTTTGCTTTTCTTAATAAAGGGTCAATACCCAATAATTCTTTTCTTATTAGGATTATTATCCAACTATAATAAACAACTATATTTTATTATAATCTCAAATAATTTGATAGTAATTGTTGAAACTAAAAAGTGATTAGCAATTTTTAATGTTTCACAGTAGATATAAATAAATAAATATAATTTTACATAAAAAAAGGTTTACATAAAAGTAAAAAAAAAACCATAAAATGTATTTATTAAATAATAATAATAATAATACTCTTTGTTTTAATGAATCCTAATATTATATATTAAAGCAAGTTAATATTTAAATATATAACTAGAAAAAAAGTGAAGTTAGTTTAGTTATAATGTATATTGACATAATAATCATTTTAACTACTTCAAAAGAAAAATACTATTTACATTCAAAAATTAGTTTGCAGGCTATTAGTCTGTTTTTAATACTATTTGTGTTTAAAAAAATATATATATATATATTTATATACTTACAAAAAATCAGATTTCTTGGAGTATTGTTTTCTACTTTTTTATTATAATGAATATCCTATTCAACTTAATTAATGTTGGATTAACAAACTTTTCATGATGTTATTTGCAGTCAACTAAATGCGTATTTTCAAGTTTTGAGAGAAAAGTTAAAAGCACACATAGCTAATGAGATAAAACTAAACAACGAAACATAGTAGAATAAATTTTAAACTAACAAACAAAAAGTATTTAACTTAATAGGTAGACAATATGTCTACAATTAAATATTAACGTAGAACATGTTTAGCTGTAATATATCAAAAGTTTAACTTTATAAATCAAAGTTTTATAACCTCTAATCAATCGGCGGCTATAACCGTGGCCACCACTACAACGCATCAACTGTGATAAAAACTGATAACAACAATTTTTTTCAGTTAGCATGAATGATAAGCAGATGGCAGCATCTATCTTTTAAATGAATGTCTTAAAGCTAATAAATTCAATTGACAACTTCCCTAAGAATGAACAATATAACTAGAAAAAAGAAGTGAAAAGATATTATTTGAATTAAAATACTTAAACATAAAAATTTGATGAAAATTATTCATTCAAAAACTATAATTACAAAATAGCATTCTGAATAATACTTTGTATTTATAATTATTTGAATGAACACCATGTATTCATTTAAACTAATTTTTATATTATGTTTTCAATATTGAAAGTGGTAACAAAAAAAAAGGAATAATCTTTTATAAAATGATAACTTCTCAATATTTGATTATTATAATACTTATGAAAAAAATTGAATTTTAATCATATTTATACACATAAGAGGACATTAAAGGGTCTTCGAAATATTTCAATAGCTCCCAATATTAAACATTTTGTGTAGTTTATTTATATGTTAGCATCCCCAGTCATTTAATTTTTGGGTACTTTCTCCAAATTATGATAATTATGTATATTGGCGCAAACAAAAATAAATTTGCGGTACTACATGTAATCTCTCTACTTTAAAAATAAACTATAACTTATTAACTAAACCCAACCCAATTATAAATGTAATTTTTCTAGAATTTTTGGTATGTTAAGCAGCCTTAGCATCCTTAGGATTTGCGTCTATGTTTATATATAAAAATAAAGTCACCAAAATGTTTGGTACCCTCTCATACTATAATGTTTAGTGCAAAATGGCCCGTTTAAAAGTTCACTCATCTCAAAAAAATAAATAAATAATAAAATAACGCTTCTGTCTCGATTATCTTATTTTGAAAACATATTTCTTTTTCTTACTAGTGTTTTATGATCTTACAAAAGAACGTATAGGTCCCTGAACACCGATGTTTCTCTGAAAAATTTTTCTTAGTTTTACGCCAATCTAAATCCACCACTAGTCCTAAGAAAACATCAACAAATTTTTCGTAGGTGGCATTTATACAATTTTTATATTTCAAGCCTGTCATATATAGAGGATTTTATTTAAGCGGGCGTTGACACATGGTTGACTACTTATTATTATTTTCATAGCTCTCCCAATAATATCAGACTACAATAAGTAATTTGTTCTTTCGCCTCCGTCTCAGTAAGGCCAATTACATTGATAAATTTAGCGTAGTTTGTATTTACGACTATTAGCTTCGATGTGAAGCTCAGAAGGTATTGGTTTTACTATTATTTTTTTTTTTTTCTGTGTCTGTTATTACTTTTTCTCAGCTCTCACCGAACGGATTTCTTTCAATGATACGTCAAAAGATCACAAATCGTATCTAGTTGAAGACATTACCCTCAAAAATTGAAAAAATTTCCCTCGTTCCCCGTAAATGGGGAAAACTCCAAAAAAAATTACAAATTTAAAAATAGCTAATTTTCGAAATTTTTTCAATTGTTTTTACTTAAAACTGCCATAACTTTTTCAAAATTGAACAAATCAATATAATTTTTTTAATAGATGCATAATGTTCTTACCTATCATTTGGTATATTTTTTTTTATAAATCTGACCCTAAACCTGCCCATGGGGGGGGATTTAAAATGACAACTATTTCACAAAAAATTAACTTTTTCAACTTAACTTTTGAAAGTGTTCCGGAAAGTCTGACACACATATATATATATATATATCTTAAATTAAATCTAATGTAATATACTTTATTATGGAAAATAAAAATTTCGGACTTTATTTTGTCTTCACGGTTAAAAAAGACATCAAATTTAATAAAAAAAAATACGATATTTGTAAAAAAATCTTTTTTATATTTCTAATTTTATTTATTTATTTGGTGTAAACGCCCAGGTGGGCTCAAGTACAATGACAATAAATATATAATAAACATCGTTGAAGTAAGATACAAGTATGTTACAATAATAGTATTAATTAAGTACATAATATTAAATTTAATTTACCAAAAAAGAAAGGTGATTTAATGATTTGCATTAGGCTACTAAATCAGTGTTTTAAGGAATACAAATCATTCATAATAAACAAATCAAATTTTAATTTATTGCACTCTCTGGCTATTCGATCAACAGGGTCATTAAAACGGTAAGATGTTCGATGAAAAGGGATTTCAAATGTGGGACAAGAACGCGAATGAAATTTAGGAACATGAAATATGGATTGTAATAGTTCTGGACAGGATATAACACCATTTACTAATTTAGAAAGAAAGCAGACGTCTATATATTTTCGCCTGTTAACAAGGGAATCTAAGTTAAGGGAAGCCTGTATAGAATTAAGTGATATTGACTTGAAAGGGTTATTAATAGAATTCATACGTCTCTTATATGCGATTAAACGTAAAAATCTTCTTTGTACACGCTCAAGCGATTCTATCAATCCAAGTTGTAAAGGATTCCAAATAATTGAGTAATATTCCAACGTAGGTCTAACTAAAGAAGTATACAACGTTTTTAGACACTGTTCGTTCTTGAATTCTTTGGTATTCCTAATTAAGAACCCTAGAGTTCTTAGGGACTTCACAAAGATATGATCAATGTGTGGCTAAAATGATAAGTTGGTTTTAAAAACTACCCCAAGATCTCTAATGGTACTAATATCCTCAATTTGATTATCAAAGAGATGATAGTCATTAATTAATTTCGTTCTTGAACGGGAAAAAGACATTTTGAAACATTTTGTGATGTTCAGTTTTAACCCATTTGAGTGGCACTAATCACAAAATCTGTTTGAATTTTATACTGATCAATAATTGTAATAACATTTGCATAAATTTTGAGATCATCAGCAAATAGTTGGTACTTACAGTATTTAAGCATCACCTATGTCCAGAATAAATAATGCAAACAACAGTGGTGATAAATGCCCCCCTTGAGGAACACCTGAAGGCACTGGTGTTTTATTTGATAAAAAACCATTAATTTTCACCTGTTCGAATCTATTCTCTAAGTGAGAACTAAACCAAGTTAAAAATTAATCAGTTATTCCATACGTTTTTAATTTTTCGATCAGCACTGAATGGTTTAGCGAATCGAAAGCCTTGCTGAAATCTGTGTAAATAACGTCCGTCTGAATTCCGGATTCCATAGAATTTACCAAGAAATTATAAAAATAGAAAAGATTAGTTTCCACTGATCGCCCTTTCCTAAAACCATACTGGTTATTATCTAAAATGGTTTTGAATGAAAATGTTAATACTTTTGTCACTAATTTATTTAACAATTTAGGTAAAGTTGATTGTTTTGCAATCGGTCTGTAATTTATTATCAAACTTTTGTTACCAGACTTAAAAATAGATGTAATAAAACTAATTTTCCATTGGGAGGGGAGAGTGCCAACAATTAAAGAACGATTAAATAATCTACATATGGGAACAGATAACAAGAAGATACATGACCGTAGTAAAATATTTGGGATACCATCCGGACCCGCGCACGGTTTAAATCTAAAAAATTAATGGTTTCAAAGATCTCACTAACAGTGAATTTAATATATGGTTGTGGATTCATTTTTTTGTAAAATAAACCGAACTGAAAATTTAGATTAGTGACCTCAGGACCACCCGTTGATGACTTGTCCTCAAGTACCATAGTAAGTGGTATGCATTTAAATTTAATTGGATTTTTTGTAAATAACGTAAGTTACATAATTTGGATTCTTGTTTGCATAAATTACGTAATCGCGAAATTTCATTATAGATATGCAGATTTTTTGTAATTTTAACTCTTTATGTAATCGTTTTTGTTGTCTATTAAATATTTTAATTCTCTACTATACCATTGAGGGTACTGGTTTTTATGTTTATAGACTTTAGGGATAAAAAAGTTAATTGCATTATGAATGACTGAATAGAAATTAGTTATGGTGACTGAAAAATCTAACGACTCATTTAATAAAGAATCTCAGTCAATGTTCTTTAAGTAAGCATTAATTGACTCATAATTAGCGTGTCGAAAATTAAATTCCAAGGACGGGGATGGTGATATAAGAGAGGAAACGAAATTTGGACCATTTATTTGAAGTGGAGGATGGGCAATATCAACAGAAACTAATGGAAATG